AGGAAAAAAGTTCACACTTTTGTGTAAAGGATTGAAATTTAGCATACGTGCTCTTTAATCCATCTTTTTAATATTTCATGACGTGATGCCACGGTCATTTGTCCCTGTAACTCGACTCGCGCTAGAGGAGGGGGTTTTCCGAAAATGTTGTTTGCTAATGACTGGTCCATTTTTGTCGACTCTATTAAGCTCCATGGTTTTGAAAACACGTTTAGAATATAATTTGGAGTCGATTACTGAAGCACAGGTAAGCCCAGATGAGTAGGGGTTGCCTACACACTCATGCGCTAAGTATAGTCAATTTCTATATATTTGTTTAATTTTTTTAGTGTTTTATCTCCAAACTTGCATAATTAACCACAAGGGTAAGTAATTAAGTCATATACCTAACGTTTTTACAGTACTAAAGGCTATAATATGAGCCCATTGAGTGCGGGTTGACGACCCCTCTGCTGGACTTGCCATGCGCAAATTATGGTTCACTGCTAATTGAGGGTAAAATGAAGGGGGCGTGGATTAATCCCGAGAACGATCACAAAATTCAGTTTCTGGACCCGTACTGAAAGGGTTCAGATTATATCCCTAATGAGTGAATGCCCATAAACACTTTAGGTGACTTATGCCCGTTTGTACCGACAAATTTAACTGGAGCTTAGCTTAAGCGTAGCTTAAAATCCATGGCAACCATTGTCTCAATAATCGTTGCCATAGATTTTAAGCTACGCTTAAGCTAAGCTCCACTTAAATTAGTCGGTGCAAACGGCAATTAATTACTTACCTTAGTGGCTAACTATGCAAGTTTGTAGCTAAAACATTGCAAAAATCAAACAAATATAGAACTCTACTCATATGGGCTTACCTGTGGCCCAGTAGTCGACTCGACTCCAAATATTCTTATCGTGTTTTCAAAACCATGGAGCTTAGTAGGGTAGACAAAAATGGTCCAGCCACCATTCAAAGACGCGTTATACTCAAAGACTGTTTTTGGTCTACGCACATTTGCGAATGCGCCACTACTTTTTGGGCAAGGCGAGTATATAGGTTCGATAACTAAGTAATTTCAATGCTAGGTAAGGTACCTAAGTATAACTCTTTTTAAAAATCACATAAAATACCTGTAGCATAGTTCCACAATTTTTCTCTTAAATAGAGTGTATCGACCCAATTTAAGATATTCTAACCGTTTAATGTTATGTTCAAGTTGGAAAAACTCATATAGGTACCTACCACACTTCGTAAAAATTGGAATTTGTAACCACCCTCGCTTAAGGGTAGTACACTACCTATTTTAGAGTACAAATTTTAAAAATATGTCTACAAACTCGGCAACGGCATATCATCAAAAGGTTAAGATGTAAGTTCCATCCTTCTATTTGTCCCTGAGAACAAATTAAATGAACGAACATTTTTGGGAAACCAGTTATTTGAAATAAATTTCTTATTCAGTCCTCTCTATCCTCCCATTTATACTGTCCATTTCTTTTTAAAGAAAAACACCGATGAACCGTAAAAGGATTCCACGGACTGTAATACGTAAAAACCTTGTCCCTTAGTAAGGGGGTATTTTTTATTTTCCATCATAGCCTGCTTAATTTGGAAGATACAGCACCAAAGTTTGCTCAAAATATACCTCAAAAACATTGAAAACAAGTCATTTGGAACACCCTATCGCTAAACACATGACAACGTGCTATTTTACTAAATTTTGTCTACTACATCATAGGTACATATTTGATCTCTAGAAAGGTTTATTTTTGTATGGATAGCATTGTGAGACTGTTGTTCGTTTGTACAGCACAGATAAGTTTTTATTAATTTAAGTTTCGAGAAGCGCCCCGGCCGCCCCATGTTGTGTAGTTTTTTTTGCATCTGATTGGTTCTTTCAATTTAATTTCAATGCGATCAGATGCATCAAAAACTACACAACTTTGCCAATTTCACCCTGTATGCATTATAGAATGGTAAAAACTAGGGAAGCGAAAAAGGCCAAGATACGTATAAAAATTACTTCATCATCATAATCTTTAATTTTCTAGTAAACCATTTTTATCACCCGCACGTTAGGTATTGCATTGGTGTAAAAAAATGACCCCTCACTTTTTTGACGGAAATACACGTTTTAAAGCACCAGGAATCCGAATCAAACAAAATTTCGATGATGTTAATCGGTCTGTCTGTCTGTACTTTCATTTTCGGCTAAAGCTAAATGGAACGAAGTTTGGTACACACATTCTCAAATAAAAAGTAATAAAAGGGCAGAATGGCGCATATGCAGTGTGGGTGGTATCTGTGTCTGTGTACGTAACGAAAGTGTGGGGGGGGGGGGTTATTTTTTACCCCACTCCCTTTACTAATGTGCGGGTGGTAATAATACGAGTACAAACAAGCTGCGTAAACTTCAAAATGGTCATTAAATGGTTAAATCGATGCTAGAATTTTAAACTGGCACGTTTCAAGTACCTATATCACGGGATTAAATTAAAAAAATTAATTCAAATTCATGCTATAGGCACCTAGGCCTACAGGGGAAATTTGTCCCGGGGACGTTGATTTTTAGGACGTTTCAATTCTGATATGCCTACTGCGAAGTGATGAAAGAAGCCACCCACCCTCCTCAAACTGCAAGCGTTCCTATAGCAAGTGGCGGATTTACATATAGGCACACCATAGGCACATGCTTAGGAGAAGGGGCGGCAGCTTTACAGGGCGGCATTTTTTTGCACTATAGGTATTTGTTTTAGGTAACATTTTAAGTTTAAAATAAGTCCCTTAACAAGTTACAAATGAAAAAAAATTTAATTAAAATTATGAAATTGGAATTGGTCGATAGTTTAAACAAACTTAACTGTGAGGACGATAATCGCCAATGCAAGTTTTGATGTGTGTGAAAACGTAATCTTAGGTAGGTATACTGTATTTCTATTCATATTAGCACAGATTAAATTGTTTGTGATATTAGTTTTAAAAATGTCAAGTTATGATCTTTATTAGCATCTTAAAATTTATTCCAATTTAAAGATTATTTTTGGAGGGGCGCATATCTTTCGGTGTGCCTAAAGGCGCAAAAAATTTAAATCCGCCACTGCCTATAGCAGAGTAGTAGCATTGTTTTAAACAATGGTAGTAGCATAGTTTCAATTTTGAATTCGACCCTCACTGAAACTGATGTAGGAACTATTCATTTCGCTTCCTATGATCAGATTTTTTGGGGTATAGGTATATTCAAAAGTCTGAGGGTATAGGTATATTCAGTGAAACTCGCATCGCAAGTAGTGTAATTTTCAATGGAACGAGGAAATTGTACAAATGGCCGTATGTGCAATAATATATTAATCCGGGTTTTACTTATACCACAGACTTATACCATAATATATCGATTAGCCCTTGTATAAGTACCTATACCTAAACCAGAAAAATTTGTTATGTCACCTACTTGCGTGATGGAATTACGTAACAGGCGTGTAAAATCGCTTCACTTATGGAATTCGTCGAGGTAATTGACTAAACATGTACCGCCAAAAAACCAAAGCTGGGTTACGTAACGCTGTTACGCATTTCCATCAGAACATTTTTAGGGGACCGCAGATATTTACGAGCTTAAACAAAGCAGCACAAAGCTCGCACTCGGCAAATTTAATTAAAAATTTTGTTTACGAGTTAATAAAACTGCGAACCGAAATTAGCCACGCGCCGGTCATTGGCGCGATTTCTGCAAAAATTTCAAGGGTGGCCCATTTAGGAACAGGAAAACAACGCGTGCCCACTTCTCCCTTGCATTGCACCGCGCTTACACTTACTTATACATTCTAAATTATTTTTAAAATGCCCACGTACAGAACAATATAATAAGTAAGATCCGATCTGGAATTACGTGCGCAGGTTACCGACCCGATCCAGAATTTGTCTCAAATATTACGAAAGCTATTGCACAATCGCGGTAGTGTAGTAGTAGGCATAGTAAATGTCAAGCTGGGCGTCGTTATGCAGAAATTTGCTTAGTCCCAAATGGGATTATTGTTAAACTCGGCGAATGTGGAATTGTGGAGCATGTTAAGAGAACAAAAAGGTGGGTACACGCGATGAAGTTTGTACCTTTAAGTTCAACAAACCCAAATTTGAGCAAATTTTTCTAAAATGTGCCAGGGTGTACTATAATAACTGTGCAATGTGCAAAATAACCTAAGCAAACATTTTATGGGTTCAACGAACCACTCACGTATATCGGTAATGGATTAGGTGCATTTCATTTATCTGCACGCGTAGGTCAGGAGTGAGCCAGAAAAAACAAACTTCAAAGTAGCTTAATCGTAATTGCCCTTAACCTCTAACCTCAGTAATCAGAAATTTTGACGTCTGGCAAATTTTAAAAAAAGCCCGCGCAGATGAAAATGTGAATGACAAATTAGAAATTGGGCAGAATAATGGAAACTTTTATTCGAAATTATCATTACTAGGGTCAATACTCCTGTTCGGATAATTAGTTTCGTGTAAAGTGGCTGACGTAAAAGAACCAGCCGTTGGAAGAAAGCAAATTTAGCCTGGTGACTACGTAATAGCCGTGGCAAAAATCAACAATAGAAAAAACCGCGCGGTCATGGTCAACTGCCAAAAAAACTTGCATTTTTAGTAATACGACGCCCGAGCAAGGACAAAGTAATTAAAAAACTGTTCCGATAAATTCCAAGGGAATCTAAATTTGGACATTGTTCACCCGATAGCGAGATTTGCCGACTTCTAATCCAAACGACTAGAGCAGAATGTTTATCGTACAGTCACGGTCGTGGACCAACTGAAGCTGTGGAACATTAGTATAACTCATGAATGAGATGCATCTGCCAGATATCTCAGATGCAACTGACTTAACCAATCAGAAAGCGGGAGCACGAAATCCTATTGGGCTAACGAATCCAAACTCCTCCTAAGACCGTCTCTCACTGATCCCCTCTTAAGATACATATCGTGAGCTTCGGTAAGTATAAAAGGATAATCAACACAATGATACGGCATTGGTATTAATGTACTGATTGTAAGCAAGCGAGGGCGAGGGAAATAAATAATCGAAAAACTCTGTATATGAAAATCCGAAAAAATGTTTGTTTATAGTTTCTGTTTTTTGTGGGGTGCGTTTTCGTCTCAAATATCGGTTAGTGTGTTAAGTGTCTTCTTGGTGGTGTTATTAGTTGTTCGACTGCTCCAAATAATCCAATACACCAGATCGTTACCACCGGGACCATGGGGACTTCCAATTGTTGGATCGCTACCCTTTCTTAAGGGCGATCTACATTTGCATTTTCGCGATTTGGCTCAGAAGTACGGGTCGCTGCTGTCGACTCGTTTGGGATCACAGTTAATAGTCGTGCTTAGTGATTATAAAATGATTAGGGACGCGTTTCGCAAGGAAGAATTTACGGGAAGACCGTCCACTGAATTTACAAGCATCTTGGAAGGCTTCGGTGAGTACCTAATATGCAAAACTAGTACTTGTTCAACAAGCCGGCACGCGCGCCTGTTGAATAATGGAATAAGCGTGCTGCAAACACAACTCAATTATGTTTAATATAGCGCTGCGGAATTCAATTGACATACTTATAAAGCTCAACCTTCTCGCAGCCTTGACAGGTCAATAGTAAGAGTGATCTCGTTTGGACATCTAATATAGGAGCTTATCAGTAACCTATTTATCGAGTAGTAGTTGATAATCAGTTGCGTCAGCGCAATGGCAAATTTCGCAAACATCACTCCAATCTTTATTTTTTATTGCAGGCATTATAAATACCGCGGGAAAATTGTGGAAAGATCAACGTCGGTTTTTGCACGATCGCCTACGTCGCTTTGGAATGACTTACATTGGTGGCAGAAAGACGCAAATGGAAAACCGCATCATGACCGAAGTCGAAGAATTCCTCTGCATTTTACGCGCGAAGAAAAATACACCAATAGATTTCAATCCAATCCTCGCCGTCTCCATTTCCAATGTGATCTGCGATATTATAATGTCCGTGAGGTTTTCCCACAACGACACCCGTTTTCGCCGATTCATGGATCTTATCGACGAGGGCTTCAGGTTGTTTGGTTCACTCGAGGCTGCCGTTTTCATTCCAATCTTGCGATATTTACCCGGACTTCGAAGGACGCGCAAGCAAATTAGTAAGGTACGCTAAAGCCCTCTTTCACCGTGAAGATTTCGCTAACTCAAACCCCCCTTTCAGAATCGCACGGAAATGGGACAATTCCTACAAGAAACCATCAACGAGCATCGCAAGTCGTTCGACCCAAGCAATTTACGCGACTTGCTCGACACCTACCTTTTCGAAATTCAAAAGGCAAACGAAGAGGGCAAGGGGCACCACCTCTTCGAAGGGCGCGACCACGGTAAGTCACCAGAGTGACATTCCTAATAGATTCCTAACCGCTCATCTTTTTGCAGATCGCCAAATGCAGCAAATAATGGGCGACCTATTCTCCGCCGGCATGGAAACCATTAAAAACACCTTGCTCTGGTCAATTTTATTCATGTTGCACTACCCCGAGGCGATGAAGGCTATACAAGAAGAGCTCGATCAAGTCGTCGGACGCAAACGGCTCCCAAAATTAGAAGATTTGAGCTACCTCCCGATAACCGAATCGACGATATGCGAAGTCATGAGAGTGTCCAGTATTATTCCAATGGGCACAACGCACGCTCCCACACAGTAAGTTGAATGCTAACCGGCGTAATTAATTGATCATTCTCGACGCGCAATCCTTGAAACACAAGATTGGGTCACTAGTCAAATTCGCACCTGCGAAAAAGTGAAAGTTATATGTATAAAAGCACTTGTAAACAGTTATTTGGCGCTGGTAGCCGGTCTGTCCACTAAGGTCGTTGAACTTGCGTTAAATATAAGCCTACCAGTACCAGATTTCCCAATGTGTGTTACATAACCGCACGGACGACTTGAGATAATGATAAGTTGTTTGCATTTAATCGAAAATTAATTTTTCTCTCCTTTCAGCGATATCCATCTGAACGGATTCAACGTACCACACAACGCGCAAGTGGTACCGCTCCTACACGCAGTCCACATGGACCCAAACCTGTGGGACGAGCCGGATAAATTCAACCCGTCCAGGTTTATCGACGGCGAAGGGAAAGTAAACAAACCAGAATATTTCATTCCATTTGGAGTGGGACGACGAATGTGCTTGGGCGAAATCCTAGCGCGTATGGAAGTATTCCTCTTCTTCTCCACACTTCTTCACACATTCGAGCTCAGCGTGCCCGACGGCGAAAAACTACCGAGCCTCAAGGGAAACGCTGGCATCACGATTTTCCCCGACACCTTCAAGGTGTTCGCCAAGCCCAGGCCGTTAGAAGGAGAGCACACTTTTTCCACGATACGATCAGCTGGAAGTCATTAGTATTGTGCTAATCGCAGGAGCACGGTCATTGAAATAGTTTCCTACCCCTTTCGTTCTGTCAGAGGCGAATTGTACTTATTAGCTATAGGTTCATTATTATTATTATTTATATAATTTTTGAAGCAATCACGAGATCTCTAAGGAGTTCGGCTGTGCATCAATAGTGTTCATTCCATTATTATAGTGTAGTTGTAAGCTAGTCATCAGATCATGTAAAACCAAACTCATTATTTTTATATTGAAAAGTGTACGCACTTTTGTAAAAATCCGACAGTAGCTTCGTATATTACGAAGCAAGAGTTGGCAAGACATTTGTACAAATCACATTCGTTACCTTTTAAGTGACCACATGATATATTTTTGCTAAAGAATTCAGGGCGACCAGTCGTTGGACGATTTTTAGTATACCAGTATGTGTTTTATACACAAAACTTAGTATTAGCTTCTTAAAGAGTAATAAAAGTTTTATTTAATTATATCTTGTTTACTTGGAAGATACCAGATATAAAAGAAATTACAGTCACATTATTGTACTTTAATAAATAAAACCTTGACCTATTCAACATAAGTTCCGGTTTAACACCAACTATCAGTAAAAAGTAGAATAACTACGGTCCCCCCAGGGGAGTATACGCAACAATTTTGTTTGCAAAAACAACTTTTACTTAAACTTTTTTAAGTTACTATAAACAAAGATAAATGCTGTTGAACCAACGCCAATCAATGTTATTGGCAGTCGTTGATCTTAGAAGAAAAAGGAAATTACATGTTGAACTTGAAAATAAGGTAAATAGTAGGGGGAACTTTCTTCTTATACAAATCGATATCTACTGGCTGTACAAAATCCGTAAACAGCTGAACAACATTGTTTATATAGAATTGACATAATAAAGCTCGATTTCGGTCAGATTTCCCAAATTTTGGAGACATCCCCGTGACAAATGGACTTTTTGAGAGATTGCGTAGAATTTTCCTTGAGCAGGTTTTTCTAGAAAGAATGTTCCGAGAGAAAACATTCCGATGACGAGTTTATTAGGGTGAATTATTCCTCACTAAATATTTCGTGTAGAATATTCCAGGAACGAACAAACCGTGTTGGGAGCGCATATCCAGGGGGAACATTTTCCAGAGAATATCTATAGAAAATAAATAATTGAAAGGATACTCACTCCTGGATGGTGGTGTAGACTGAACGGTGTTTCGTGGATTTTGCTTTTGGTTTTATTTGTCTCCTGTCTCGACTTCAATATAGGGTCTGTTTCCTGTTGGCCGCAAGAGAAATTAACCGCGTGTAAAGCAGATCTAGACAGGCGAAACAACCCTATGGGCAGGGCCGGCGGAAGCGGGCCTTCAGGGCGTGCTAAGCAGGTGGGCGCCGTTATAAAGGGGGCGCCCGCAGATCGTAAGATGTAAGTGCCATTTCAGACAAATAAATAATTATAGCAATAAACAATCCGTCAGCGTCGTCAGGTCGTGACTCGTGACACATCCGTTACAGCTTTACAAAATTTACAACTCATCATGAAATACAAGTACAATAAACTGTTCAAACAACGAGCGACAAAGACAGACAGACGGACAGAAAGTCCAAATGATCAAAATTTAATCAGTTAGTTCCTTGACCAATTGACCATTGTCTACCTATTACTGAAAACAGAATTGGAAAATTCAAAACCATTGGTGAGTTATCATGTACCTACACAGACGGACGGACGGACAGAAAGTCCAAAATCATGAGCGAGCGTTAATAATTTACTATATTTATGGTATTTCGCGAGACGCTTACCTTTCTGTTTTAAATTTATTTGTCAACTTGTACAGGGCGCGCCAACGATTGCGCGGAGTAACTTAATACCTTGAAGATGATAGTTTTCGATAGAGTGCTTTAATATAGGGTGCGCCCACAAAGTATGTCGCTAAAACGGTACATTTTTTTAAATAGAACCCCCTGTATTTGAATACATTTTTTAATTCTACGTGTAATTTGTACGACTTTTTAATATTATTATATGGTCAATATCCGAAAAACTAGTAGTTTTAAAGATAATTCGACTTGCAAGAAAAATTTGGCATTTACAAGGGTCAGTTTCAGAGCCGTCGCCAGAGGGAGCAAGTAAGGCCTTAGCCGCTCTTGGGATCCACTTTGCCCGCTCTTAAAATTTGCTTCATAACGCAATGTAGCATGCGCATAAATAATCAAAATTTATTTAAAAAAATTAACAAAACAATAGAAAAAAACTTCAACCATTTTAAAGTGGCGATATTAATAATTAAGAAGGTGATTTAAGTTGAAAGATGGATTTAACAGTTTTCTATTATTACATAACGCCAGCGCTTTTTCGAAAACGACATTTTTCGGATTTTTGGCCAGAATTTCGCCATTTGTAGAGCAACAAGAAGCTTTGAAAGGGAAAATTAATCAGCATGAAAGTGTGCGTAATTTTTCCCATTTAAGCATCTCGTACGAGATCCCCATGGTGACAATGAAAAAAACTCACCCTGTATTATCATTTTATTATATTTTTTACCACCTGCAATACGTAGTACAGGCATAAGAGAGATCTGAGGACAGATCTACAAATGATCTCCAACTTTTTAAGTCGATACGATACACACATTTCTTGGGCAGCGAACAATCGAGTTTGGTCTTTTTCCCAACAAAATTGGTGCATAAATAAGGATTTAGATCGATATTGGGCAATAAAGTGATGGATATTAAAATTAATTCTTGCTAGTTGCCCATCTGGAACCATAAGCTTTCTTACAGCGAAAACCAGAAGTCGATACGAGTTCTTCTTCCCAAGAAAATCGGTACATGAATAACGACTTTGACATTTTTTGTGATCAAAAATACACATGGACCACTTCTTGGGCATTGCGCAATTGAATTTCCTAAGAGAATCGATGCATAAATAACGATTTTGACATCCTTTGGATAAAAATATTTTGGTCGCCAAAAATAGACATGTAGGTATCATTTCTTGGTGATCGAGCCAACGGGTTTGATCGTTTTCCCAACAAAATTGGCGCATAAATAATAATTTTGACCAATTTAGAGCTATAACACGTGATGAATGCCAAAGTTAATTTTTGATAGTCGATACGAGGTCTAGGGACTGAGCGGAACGACACGCAGACGGACGGAAATATGAAGTCATAAGCGCTCCACTTTCGTGGATTGCGCTAAAAACGAATTCCTTCAGCAGAACACAGCAAATTATTAATATTTGGCCTGGCCGCTCTGTAGATTTATTTGCCCGCTCTTAGTAACTAATCTGGCTACGGTCCTGGTCAGTTTATTGTCAAAATTATTATTTAAATTTTCATTCCAGGCTCTCTATCTGTTATCATGGCTAAAATAAAAGTCAAATAAATGCATCTACTACATTAAAAATAGCTTACAGGGTGTTTTTTTAAAGTTCAAAGTTACAAAACTTCATATTAAAACATCTCGCTTTTTAAAATGGAACACCCAGTATATTTTTCTGTCATCCTTTAGCTCCTCCAAAAACCTTCAACTTTTAATAATAATGTCCTATACCTATCTGTGATAGTTTTCGAAATATCTTGACTTTCCCGGTTTTTATGTTCTAATCTTAAATAAGTTATATGTGATTTACATCTGCCTCGTCCCAAACGAAAATCATATCGATTAATTCATTTTTCGAATAATTCATTTAAGTCTAAAAACCATGTTTTATTTATTTCTTCAATTTTATTAGGTGTTAAAAGATAAGGATATCTGGAAATATTTGCGCAGTATTTGTAAAAGTGAGTCGTGATAAGAGTTGTTTTTCGCTTCATACAAGCTAATTAGTTTCAAGATCAGCACGAGTTATCGCCGAAGTTTTAACACATGTGCTTAAGTTACTAGAAGACGCGCAGAAAATTAAAGAGGAAGAAAAAACATTATGGAATAGGAAGAATGTTTTAAATAGAAGAGACGGGTGTTAATCATGGCCTTTTTGGTGGTGGGCGTCAATTGTTGCTTGTTTGTTTTGGTGGACGCTGAAACGTAGCCGTTTATTGTGTTGTTGATTGCCAGTTTTTCCGTTATTTAAGCGTAGGTATTATTGCAAAACAGTCAGTCGTTATAATCGTAAGTTCTTGTTATAGAAGAAAATTAATACTTAATAGCATTACATTTTTCTATTTCGTATTACATCGGATGTTAATTAAAAATTTGTTATTCTTTGGAAGGCGGGCGAGGCTGATAAATTTCTCAAATTCATAAAAGTTACGTCAATATCGACATTTTCGTCGTGGCGGAGGCTAGACGTATCGTAGAAAAATTATAATTATTAACGAGGAACAAAAAGTGAGTTCATGATTTTGGCATTTCTGTCCGTCTGTGTACATATTGAAAATCACGAATGGTCAAGGGACTAACTGATTAAATTTTGGTCAATACTCGTTAACCGAAAGTGACCTTGCATGGGCGAAGTATGGCGATTAAATGTGAAGAAGAAAGCGCGTAAAACAATCGATAAACAAGCAAAAGTACCTACAGATTACCTAGTTAATCTGTTGCAAAAGACAAGAAAATGTTTAAAGAATACGTGAAGGAATTGAAAGAGGTGTGAAGCAAACAAATCTGGAACGGAAGAGGTGGGGAAGAAGGAAATGCAAAAAAGTGACACTCTGAAAGTTTAAACGAATGTTCAAAATTTGAATATCGAAAAGACGTAATTTAAAAATAGGGCTCAAAACTGATCAGATACAATTTCACTAGTCACCATTGACAAATCAATAAAAACACTGTTTCAGATTTATTTAAAGCCCAAAGAGAATATTTTTATCATTTGGACCAAACGATGAGACCATGTCATCAACGGCGAAGGTCAGATCTGTAACAATAATTTATTAGAGGTCAACTCCGAAATTCAAGTACTATAACAAAATAATTCAATTTATTTTTCGGATTTAAAAGAAAAAGGAAGGGGTTAAATTTGTAGGAATTTACGCTAATGCTTTCTTAAATTTTCCCATAAGTAATTATTCCGTTAATTAAACTTCCGCGTTCATGTTTTTCATAATTAAATTAAACACAATTAAATTGTGTTTTAAAAGTATTATAACCAACCCTATCAACCGAACATGCACATGCCTGTTGAGGGCCCAGAACAAGAGAGGGATAATAAATAAATAAATAAAATAAATAAAACAAAAAGAGTAATAAACTGGTTAGATTTTTTAATGAAATTTATTTTTCAATATGGCACTGCCTTTAGTATAAATAGCAGCAAAATCTTCATCTTCTGGAAACAAATCTAATGGCTTGCTTTCGGGGTGTGAGCGTAATTCCTATTTCGCCCACCAAATCCACATCGCCAGATGCGCAAATTTCGAACCGTTGCAGAATTGAGGCGGTAAAGAAGAACAAAATCATGATCGCCAAGTCCTCGCCGATGCACATCCTTTTCCCTAAAATCTCAAATATAAAATTTCACCAAACCACCCGGTTCGAATCAACCAGTTTGAAACGGCATAAATTGTTTAGGCTTGGCAAACCGTTGTTCCTCGTTCAAGAAGCGTCTTGGATTAAATTCGTCGGGTTTCTCCCAAATTGTCGGGTCCATGTGAACGGCCCACTGCAATGGTACCACCATGGTGCCTTTGGGGATGCGGTAACCGAGCAGATTGACCTCGTCCAAAGTTGCGTGGGGTATGCCGACGGGTACAACGGAACGGATCCTTTGCGTTTCGGCGATGGAAGCTCGCGTAAGCGGAAGCAGCGGGATGTCTTCTATCGTAGGGGGGCGATCTTGAAGTACACGATCCACCTCTTCACGAATCTCACCCTGAATTTTAGGACAGGCTGCCATGTAAAGCAATTGCCAGCTGAAAAGTGGCGTCAGACTTTGCGTTTGATATTCATATTACCGTAACGTGGTCAAAGTAGTATCTAAGCCGGCACCAAAAATGTCTGCAAGTAAATGATAAAATTGCTGAAAAGTAAAATACTCTTTGTCGGACGTGGTATTTATTTCGCGTAGGAAGGCTTGAATGACATTTTGGGGTGACTCATCGGCTTGGACATTTTTCCGCTCCTGCTCTATCAGCTCGCGATACAGTTGGTGAGTCTTATGCTTCCCATCTAGTAGAAAACGCACGACCTTGCTAAATCGTGGAATGTATCTGCAAAAATGTGTCATGTATTAAACAGGATGCGACCAGTACCTTAAAAATGGGAAAAAGTTTAGTGGACCAGCAACCCCAATAGCCTTGGTTCCCTCCTCCTGAGTATGTTGAAGCCACAACCAAGTGGGATCATCTCTACTCCACGTTTTTCCAAAAACCAACTGGCACATTACTGATCCTATGGCATGTTGTAAATGTGCTAGAGGGTCAATGGGTTCACATTCATCCCCAATGACCTGCAACAGAAATCTGTAAGCGGGAGTTGCGAGTTGATGACTTACATTAACACAATCGTGCACTTCTCTTATAATTACTTCCGTCAACGAGTCTGTAGCCGCTCTGGCCGATTTGGTTGCTCCAAACAACCTCAAAAATTTTGCCGCAAACTTTCGATGAATACGCCACATACTTCCTTCTGCGCAAATAAGTCCTGAAAAGAATTAAAAGTTGTAATACACATGACAACACCTTGAATTATAGCCCAGACTACGTCTAGCCTTGTTAGAATTAGGCAATCAACCCGGATTTATTGCACTTTTTTACATGGTACCATAATCTAGAAGGTTAATGATACCTATTTACTTTCAGTGGTCGGTATGACAAGATCAAAATTGTTGGGAGAGGTTATGGTTAAAAATAGTACAAAAGCATACCCAATTATATTTTTTGCTATACTCATCTGTCTATGCGTCTAACAGGTTTAGTATCTACATCACCTTGAATTAGGACATCGCGCAAAAGTTAAGTGATTACTCAGTTTCTCAAATAAAAATTGTACAACAAACTGATGGCCGATTGTGTTAAATTTAAGGTGGGCGACTCTACGATTTCTCAATAGCAAAAAACTGTCAGACTTGATTGTTTGGTACTGGAACCGCATCATTTTTCATTCACAATACTTTGTAGTTATCATAACATCAAGGACAACTGTTCAATTTACTTATAGTTTAGTTGGAAGAACATATGACGCATTTCTGGGGTAAATTTCTCGCTCTTTTTTAAATTCCTAATTGATTTTGGAGGTACCTATTCAAGGGAAACCGTGGAAATACAGACACGGTGATAACGAACCTCGCAATTTTTACATTAAAAAGTTCGTTTATTTTGACTATAGAGCCACCTCCTCCTCAGGCACGGTTCGAGATCACGGATGAGTTATTGCAGCTACAAGAAGGTGGGGGAAGTGGGCTGCGTGCTGACGGCGAGTGTATAGATAGGGCATCTGCGCCCCAGAGGCCTTTATTAAAATAAAAAAGAACTTTGGATGGGAGTTATAGGTGCAGGGTAGGTACATTTTCCATTTAAACTTGTTCCCCCTAATTCACCACGTCACCCAGATAAGATTGTAAAAAACCCTCGGGACTCCTGGAGGTCAGGAGCACGCAGCTCTAAAAGTTTGTCTCGCGAAGTGTCGTACGGCGCCAAATTTCAAAATGGAAAGCAAAATTTGGGTTTTCCTTCCCCCAGCGGTGGAGATTATTCGAATTTTTGTAAGAACCAAGTGTCGTACTTGGAGACTCCCCAAATTTCCAGTGGGGTGAAGTGTCACACATTCATTTTTGAATACCTCACTCATAATAAATATTGGGTCCAAATTTTCATCTTGCTTTTTTGTGCGTGCGTGCGGGGATGCGAGCCATAATAAATCGCATCCCAAACCAAACACAGTAGTTGAATCTAGTAGAATCTATGGAGGAGGTCAAATTTTTGAGTAAGTTTTAATATGTTGATAAAACTTTTTTTTTCATCACGCCACCACTACTCGCTTATAAATATATAAGGACTTTATTGCATAAAATGTGATATCGTCTCCACTTATGTTGCAAGCCTTGACATCATAACCAACCAAATAGCAAAAAAAAAGTAGCGACACAGCCGTAGGGACGCACAGGCGGACAGACGGATCCACGAACGAGCGCACAAAGTGGCCACAATAGCCTTTTTTGTGGAAATGCACTAAGGTCTTTCTTTTATAAGAAGCATCTCATGTTAAAATTTCAGAAAAATTGACCGACAAATAAAAAAGTTCAATTTGTGCATGCGTAATCTATTTTTTATATATGCTCTCAATTTAGTTTTATAATTCTTGAAGACATCCCGTCGTTTCGATTTGATTTTATAGGGATAGCATCTTAACGTAAAGTTATAAGCACAATAAACGGAAAAGTGTAAAATTATGGTAGGTACATGAAAAACATTATCTTTTAGGAATGCACGCAGAAAAAATTCCTTCCTCAGTGCAACCCCCCGATCCCATAACGAAACAAATGGCGAAAGCAAATACTTGATTGACTATGTACTCGACGATGAATTTTTAATTATGTAGTCAAGAATATAGTTAAGATCACAATAAAACACATACGGGTTAAAAATAAATCCCCAATCTTCTCTAAATTGATAAAACTACAATAGCAATGTTATAATATAATTACAAGTATCTAGTTTTTACTTATTCAATTAAATCTGTAATTCAACACATGAGTTCTCATTTCTCACTAATTTTCATATCTGAAACTAAATTCCATGAATATTAAAAAATCACTTTAAATAGATTATAATGTATAATCAATTTAACGTGATTTTTTATTAGTTTATGTTGATGAAAATACGTCAATTATACAAAACACAATAAATTGTTAAAATATTTAGAATTAGAAAGGAACAAAAAACCCATAGGTCTTTTTCCAACGCTTGAAAAAATAAACAGTAGAAAGGTTTTCCCCCTAAGGGGAGTAACTTTAGCACATTTTCCGTGCATTGATTAGTACGTCCCAAAAGGGCTACGTTTTTCTTTACTAGAAGCATGAGCATCTATAATTGAAATTGAACGTGGGGTCTTTTCAGAACACTTTTGGTGTTAAATGGCAGACTGATAATCAAATATTGCGTCAAAATTTACATCAATTGGTTTTTTTCGTTTTCTAATTACGTCAGGACCTTGCATATATGCAAATATTTTCTATTCTACCCCCTTACGGGTCAAAATCCCCGAATGTTTAGTCGGGGTTTTTCATCAAAATCTACATAACGACGAAATATTTCTTTTTAACTTTCCATTTCTAATAAGTTGGTAAACGTCAAGAATTTTTAGTATGGGCGAAATGTCGAAATGCCTCATCACTTAAAATAGAATATTTCGTCAAAACTTTCATCCAAACGATGATGTCTCTTTTTCGTTTTCTACTTGTAATAAATCATAATAAAATCAAGTAAGTTGGTATGCTAAATGCAAAATGGGAAGATATTTCCATTTTCATCCCCAGGAGTGAAGATTACCCGCATTTTGGGTAAAATCGAAGTGTCGTACCGCATTTCTATTTAAATGATCCACTGATAATAAAATATTATGTTCATGTTCGAAGGCGCTATAACGGTCACTTTCTCTGTCCGTCCGTCTTTTTGTCCCCATTTCACCTACATTCACTGTTACGAAGATCCCAATGGTGAACGACGAATTTGAACCACTCTGTACAGGGTGTAAATCGAAAAGTGGAACATAGGCGTTTAACATGCGGGAAATTACTTTTTCTTTGCGCAAACGTTTCCTAATTATTTTACGCAAAAATATTTCAAATAAAAGTTATAGAGATATAAATTCTGCATCTAAATCATGTGAAACGATGGTTTAGTTTCTGAAAGATTGTAAAATACGGACAGGTCATTTTTATGTATTTTTTAATCTAAATGTGTTTCGAATTTTTGTTGATTGTATCTTTCTATTTTTTTTGTTTTTTTAGTACTTTTGCTAAGAATTAATTGAACCGTAGCTAACTTGTCGACTATTTTCCTCATTGATGGGAACGTAAAGCTCAGTAGGATATAGAAACTCTTCACACGGCATCCTCTTCCTATAGTCCTATAGTCCTAAAGTCCTATAGGAAATGTCTACCTACTTTATTAAAGAGGTGAGACAATATAAATAAACTAAACTTATGTGAAAAAAAAAGATTGAGACTCTTATTTTTTGTTCTGTTAATATAAAGAATGAAGGATCATACAAACCAAACAAGCTGAAAAATTCAAAGTATTCGAACGGTTCGTAGAAACTAAAAAAAGTACAGAAGGATGAACAAGATTAAAATATTATTAAGGATTCAAAAGATATTAAAAATCCGAAAAATGTGAAGAATGTGGAGAATCAAAAAATGAGAAGAAACTAAAATAAATACACAAATAGATTACAAAATCAAACAAAATGGAAAAAAATTTGGGATAATTTTTGAATTAATTACATACCAAGCACCAATACTGGTAAAGAAGCCGTATAATCGCAATACTTCTCATGGATTTGATGAAGGTGAAGAATTGGATGATTGGAAGAATCGAAGGAATACAAAAAAATTTCAGAATCCGATGGATATGGCCAATTTGGAAGAATTTGAAGAAACGAAAGAACCTGAACGATCTGGTGGATGTGAATAATTCGAAGCATTATGAAGAATCCACGAATAAAAATTGAAAATCAAGAAAGTGGAAGAATGCAAGGCATCTTTAAATTTTAAAGAATTACAAGCGCAGGATTTGAAAGATCGAAAGAACTATAACAATCTGATAAATTTGAAGAACTTGAAGGGTCCAAGAAGGGGAAGAATTTAAAGAATCTGAATCTAAACCGAGTCACCCGAGAAGATCAAGGAGAAGTATTGAAAAATTTGAACCCTGAGAAAGCTGAAGAATTGGAATAAATTGAATAATAGAAAGAACATGAGTCTGAAACAGAAAATCGGAAGAAATTTTGAAAAATTCAAAGATGAAGGCTCAGAAAAAACCTGAACTATTCAAAAGGTCGAAGAATTGGAAGAAACAGCAAAATGGAAAAAATAATATAGTATTGAAAGAATCTAATACATTCAGAGAAACGGAAGAATTTAAATATCCGGACCAATGTGAAGAATCTTGACTGGGAAATATCAAGTTTCTTATGTATAGCGCTATTTTTTTGAAATTCTAACTGCTTCTAGTAAATACAAACATATCGCATATTTCAAAACCAGATATGCGCACACTGCCGACTGCGAAATGTCAACTTTATTATTTTTAGATATTTTTTGAAATTTGAACCGAAGGTTCTTCTAGTAAAGGTTCTTATTTATAAGAAAATGTATGCCTTCACTCATTTTCCTTTGTGCACATAAATAGTCCGTTATATGACTTCGTGAAGTACTGACGAATTAATGGAAAATGCGCTAACGTTACTCGCCTTAACGCGAAAATCTTTTTTGGCGCATTTTCGAACGAAGTTGGGTGCGCTATTGCAGCCTCTTTATCCGTCCGTCTGTTCGTACGTCCGTCCGTCCGGGGCCTTAACTACTTCTACAGTTTTCAAGATTTTAGTTCGTTCTTTTTGCATTTGGTAGCTAATAGGTGTGGCATCTCAACCAAGAAAAAATCTTGACGATCAATCTGCGCATGCGCAGGCTGCGCAATTTA